ATAGGACATTGGGATAAATTTTTCTCCCCACCATTACAGTCTATTTTTCCAGAAAATAGTGCGTCTTTAGTTTCTCTTACTGACAATGCCGCTCCATCAGAAACAACTTCCTTGTATCCCAATTGAGTACAAACAACTTTGCTGGCGTTAGTCGTTAAACTTTGCCCGCAAACACTCTTCGTCCCACTATCAGTGAGAATTTTCACAACACCTTCGTTTGGTAGAGATAAGTTTGATAGAGATACATCCAGAACTACAGGAAACCAAAGCAAGGAATTAAATGCAAAAATGTATGTTGCCTATTGTTAAATCAAACTGATATACCAACTCCCAACCTCGTATCCAATGCTTTCGTATGAGGTCGAGGGAAGGACGAGAAAGCTCTATTCTGGGCCGGTCAATTTTGAATTCTGTTTGGCTAACACCATATATTGTCTAAAAATAGCAGAACTTGAAAATAACAATTCAACCTAACGATTCAACTATGTATTTTTATGATTGTTGTGCACGAGTATATTTTCAAAATGACCTTTGATAGTACGAGCGCGATTTGCATTTCAGTTTTCCCAACTGCATGATTTACTTTCGGCTCGGCCAGTTACAAAACTTAAGAGCGGGTCTCTACAAAAATCAAACATACCGCGGCTCAAAATGTTAAATTCGCTCTACTTTTGAATTTAAGTTAACTATGACAAAGTATGAAACGTCATATAGTTAGTTTTTAAAAATACTCTTTTGTTTATGAAAAAAAGGCAAAAAAATATTTCAGCTGTGAGGACCGATTTTCGCAATCAAAAAATGGCCGAAATTGCGTGTGTTTACTTAATCCTGGCATCCAACTCCAAAATCCAAATAGCTTTATTATACTTTCTGCTAAAGATACATCACTCCCTGGTTTATTAAAAGTGGTTTTATGATAACTGAACAACTGAACACATTTGTGCACAATATAGAGCGACGGGTACTGATTTTTAATGTTTGTCATTGCATGTAACGAGTGACAGATTTCTCCATTTGCCATCCTTTCAAATCTTATGAGATTTTGCACATGCACTATTGGAAAACTGCTCTTTTCAGAAATGTATAATTTATTTTGGGTAAATTAATTCACGCGCTACGAGAAAGAGTTAACTTTGGTTCATTAAATATGCAAAATCATTGTTTAGCAATTGACCATTTGCGTAAAAGACTAAATTTTGATATCAACAAGTCTAGACAAAAATTTCATCACGGCTTAAAAGAGCATCACAAAATTAGTAGTATTCCAAAATTTCGTTGCGAAATGTTGTAAAATGTGGATAATATAGCCTTTCGAAATTTGTAATATTCAATCACTTTAGATTACAAACGGAAAATTGACAGCCTCAAAGCGTATCGGGCTGTCAATTTCCCGTTTGTAATCTAAAATGACTGAAAATTGCATACTTCGCAAAGCTATATTATCCGCATTTTACAACATTTCGCAACGAAATTTTGGAATATTACTAATTTTGTGATGCTCTTTCAAGCTGTGATGAAATTTTTGTTTAGATCAAAATTTAGTATATTACGCGAATGGTCCGTTGCATGACTAAAAACCCCTTGAAATAAACTCGCTTAAAACATCATTGTTCTTCGCCTTCAGTTTGGAGAATATGAAGAAAGCATAAATATACATACCTTGAATGCAAAAATTTTCTTTGAGCTGTTCCACTTTTGGCGTTTATGCCAGGAATTTAATATTGTCGACCGTTACACATCGACTCAAAGTTCTTGGAATCCAATCTATCAGAAATCAGCTAACAATAGCTGTTATCGTAATTGAATACGCCTATGCTACACACCAGCGGTATCTGTATTATTTTAACATCGAGACGAGGCTATAGGGTCATGTTTTGTGTTTTTTAACCCTTTAGCCTCGTTTTCGTGCGTACTTCCACTGAGATACGCTGGTTCGCCACAGCGGCATATTCAATTACAATAACAGCTATTCACACAACTTCCATTCGTGTTCCATTTACGATTATTAATATTCTTAGAAACAAAGAGTCAAAATTAATGTTGCAGAAATTCTATTTTATTTTTATACTGACATATCGAAAAAGCTACATGTTTACATTATAGGTGGCGGGATTCCTGTCGATTTGACCGAAGTAATGCCACTGCGATGTATTACTGTAATGTTGTCATTTCTTTTTTAATATTTTTTTCTATTAAGTGGATTATTGCGAATTGAGTTTTTTTTATTGCTGTAATTACTTTTATTTACAATTATTAATATTCTTAGAAACAAACAGTCAAAGTTAATATTACAGAAATTCTATTTTATTTTTATACTGACATATTGAAAAAGCTATTTGTCACCAAATGTTTACATTATAGGTGGCGGGTTTCCTGTCCATTTGGCGAAAGTAATGCCGCGGTGATGCATTAATTGTATTTTTAACATTGTTTTTATGTGGATTATTGTCGAAAAAATGCGATCCGCCCGCCGCTATGCTATTGTTATCATTATTAATTAATTAATATCCGTCACGAGCACACCATAACAGTTAAACTTCCATGAAAAGTCAGCATATTAGTATTTGAACTGACGACTGATCAGAGTGGTTTCGAAGGAAATGGCAATCTCTAGACGCTTCAATTTTGGTCCAATAGTGGACACGGATTGGCACAGATTATTCATTTGATCGCAGAGATATCAATATCTGCAGTAGCATTGCCTTCCGCCAAATCGGCAGGAAGCCCGCATCATCTAATTATAAATGTAAATACTTTTTTCGATATCTCAGTACAGTATATGAATAAAATATAATATCTGCAACATTAATCTTGACTCTTTTCTGCATGGCTTATTTTTTTATTTTAATGGCTTAACTATAACAATTGTAAATGGAATACGAATGGAAGTTGTGTAAATTGTTAGCTGATTTATGTTAGCTGGACTCCTTGAACTGTGAGTTTAATATGTAGTTAAGTTAGGGATAACACCAAAAGTGGAACAGCTCAAAGGAACTTTTTGCATTCAAAGTATGTATATATATATTTATGTTTTCTTCAAATTCTCTAAACTAGAGGTGAAGAACAATGATGTTTTAAGTGAGTTGATTTCAAGGGGTTTTTAGTCACGCAATCGCCAAACAGTTATTTTTGCATATTTAATGAACCAAAGTTAACTCTTTCTCAAAGCGTGTGAATTTATTTGCCCAAAATAAATAATACATTTCTGGAAAGGGCAGTTTCCCAATAGTGCTTGTGCAAAACCCCATAAGATTTGAAAGGATGGCAAATGGAGAAATCAGCCACTTTTTACATGCAATGACAAACATTAAAAATCAGTACCCGTCGCTCTTTAATGTGCACAAATGTGTTCAGTTGTTCAATTATCATAAAACCACTATTAATAAACGAGGGAGTGATGTAGCTTTAACAGAAAGTATAATAAGGCTATTTGGATTTAGGGTTTGGATGCCAGGATTAAGTAAACATACGCAATTTCGGCCATTTTTCGATTGCGAAAATCGAAACATTTTTTGGTCCTCACAGCTGAAACATTTTTGCCTTTTTTCATAAAAAAAGAGTATTTTTAAAAACTAACCACATAACGTTTCTCACTTCACCATAGTCAACTTATATTCAAAAGTAGAGCGAATTTAAAATTTTGAGCCTTGCCACATATTTCTCATTTTGTTTGATTTTTGTAGACAGTCGCTCTTAAAGGCGTATCGACGTGAGCTGTGATATTTCCTGACAAAACAAGAAACGTTTATTATTAAGCTGCAGTTTTCCCTGTACAGTATTTATAATGTAGTGCAGATATCTGATGAAATACAACGCGTATATTATGCATTGTAGTAATACTTTAATTTAAAATATTCTATACTGACAAATATAAGCAAGACAAGCAATAAAATGAAACTACTAATTTATAGGCCTTGGAATAGCTCTATACGCGAAGGCGGCCATATGTAGTGTCACTAGCCTGTACAAGATTCGCTTGTCACGTCACCGAATTTAACAATCCCAGAATACCCCGAATACTTGAAAATTGCGATTATACGATAAAATAAGAAGACTGTGAAGGGGATAAAATTTGTAGGCAAGCATTGCTCCTGAACGGTTAGTGTCGAAACAAGCAAATCCGTATATTTCATGTGGGCCTACTGCGTTTTAAAACAGGTTACGCGAGGTTTTATATTTGTGTTTATTAATGTCGAACTAAGAGTAAGAGCATATTTAATCTAAACTGAGGGCAAAGCCATATTTTTCAAGACGAGAGAAAGAAAATTTCGTGTGAATCGCCACTCGCGGAGACGCCTGGAATCTAGATGCTGCTTCGAAATCATGTTGAGATACCCGGTTGTGCCTTTGAATGGCGGCTTTGCCTGTCCTTGACACTGTGTTTGAAAATCTCTTGAAATATCGGTATATCTTAGAAAACATCGACAGTGTCGTTAGAAAACATCGACAGCTGATTCTTGCCAAACTTCGCTACATAAATAATATCGATTGAGAAGTGCTTTGGTAGTTGATTTGTTTCGAAAACTTGTTTATTTCTGTTAAGAATATTTCGCCACTCCTTGACGAGTAGCTGTTAAATGTGCCCATATCACGTGACTTTTATTTTTATGAATCCCCGTTTTGGAATTGAATTTGTAGAGGTTATAGTAAGGTTTCGAGTGAAATTTATGGAAAACATGAACGAGTGCTATTAAGTAGTGTTGTTATATAGGTTATATGTATGTTAAATGTGATTGGTTCATTCGTAGTCACGTGACTTTAGATAAATGCAATGTTTCCCGCCGGGCAACAAGTAAAAAATTGTTGCCCGCTCATGCGGTCTATCATAACAAAAAACAGCTATGGAGCCGATCGAACACTAAAAAACAACGGCGTTTTTCGAGCTTATCAAGCGATGAAATTCAGTTCTTAATAGAAAAAAAGATTCGGTAAACACTCAAAAGTCGACAAAAAATGCTGTGGCAACCCTTATAGCATTTTGTAACGAAATTTCTCCCGAGGAATCTCCGCCGAAAGACGTTGAATACCTCGAAAAGCTGTCGAAAGAAGAACTCAACGAACTTTTGACTGCTTTTTACCCAAATGCCAGGAAAAAGAATGGCGAAAACTACAAAAAATCTGCTCTTATGGGTTTAAGGTTTGGTCTTCAGAGGCATTTTCTACTTAAAAAGAACGTTGACATCATTGGTGATCAAGAATTTGCAAAATCAAATCAAGTTTACGAGGCAGCCATTGTTGAATTAAAACGGCAAGGTTTTGGCAATGTCGAACATCACAACGCAATTTCGCGCGAGGATCTCCAAAAAATACAATTGTCTTACAATCCTGCTGTTCCTGATCCAAAAAGCCTTCAACGATTTGTTTGGTTCAACATTATGTTTCACCTAATTCGTCGAGGAAGAGAAAACCTTCGACTTCTCACGAAGCAGTCGTTCGCCATAAAGACTGACGCGACAGGAAGAAAGTTTGTTTATCAGGCGGCTGACGAATTAGATAAGAACCATAGAGGCCATGACAACGCAGACGATTCCCCAGGTGAAGGACGTATGTATGAACAAGACGGCCCATTGTGTCCAGTGAAGGCATTTGAACTTTATTTAGCAAAGCTGAATCCGAAACTATCTTGTTTATGGCAGAAGCCTAAAGCAAAGGAACATTTTAAAGAGACCGACGAAGTCTGGTACTGTAATGTTCCTGTTGGTAAAAACACTTTAGGTACTTTAATGAGTCGGATTTCCAAAGAGTTGGAACTTTCACAAACATATACAAATCATTATATTAGGACGACAGCCGTCTCGTTACTTGACGAGTGTAATTTTGAAGCTCGTCATATTATGCGTGTTACTGGGCATAAATCTGAGAGCAGCATTCGCTCGTATTCCAGACGACTCTCAGAGGTAAAACAAAAACAAATTTCACACTCGCTCAGTAGTGCTTGCTTTAATAGTACGAATGCCAGTAGTTCTAGTGAAATTGTGTCAGTAAACGAAGCAGAAGAAATAGTTTGTACTGAGTCTGAAACTACAAATTGCCCACAGTCACCTGTATTGACTCAGAATTTTGCCTCTCACAGCCAAGAAACTGTCAATTTTCATTCTGGAGCTTTTGCCGGGGCAAATGTGACCATTATCTTTTACAAAAAGTGACATTTTATTGTAAATATATATCGTTTATACATGTACTAAGAGTTTTCATAGTTGGGTGAATGCGAACGCTTGTTTGTTACATTTTGAAGCCATATAGTGCATGATATGCATTGTAAAGCCTTTTCATGAAATAAAATTGTT